GTCTCACAGAAAGAAAACAACTTTCTCAACAAGCAGATGTAATACACCTTCAGTACCTTTAAAAAAAATGTTGGCACAGAGAATATTCCCAAAATGAAGTTTACAAATCACACCAATTTCATTACTGAATTCTAGCTTGTAGTCTGTGTTTCCAAGGAATTGGTGATGAAATAGGTTTTGGGTTCCATGTTATTTGCAACTCTCATTTTCCAGTTATGAAACCTAAAATATTGAATCAAAAACATACCAACTAAATTGAGATTACAGGATCTTCAGATACATAGAACACACCCCATGATGTGGGGGGCGCTTGTCCTCCAGATGGGTACATTCTGGCAGGCAAGTCTTTTACAGAATTATAATAATACGAAATGGTTGCTCTAAAAAGGGAGTCCTTAGTATAATGAAGTCTCCACTACTCTCTTTGAAACTTAAGGATGATTTCAACTTGCTGTAAGGAAGCAGAAGGTGACATCGTGTCTACTCTAAGACCCAATCATCAGTCATGTAAGAATTAGTGTTGTGGATAACGATAGCTGAAAGAGGGGAGAAAACTCTTTCACCAAAGCTGTTCATAGACGGTCCCATTCCTAACAGCCCTTTGTTCACTCTCTTACAGGTGGAAAACAGGTGAAGATTAGGTATCAATCAGGAAGCAAAAAAACATTTGGAACAATAAAATATACAAGGAAATAATAATTTAATCATATCGTGATGAAGATAACTTGGTTAGCGAACAGCACGTCAAGAGACAGCATTTTTGTTATGGTTTAGGAAAAGTGTGTTCAATAAACTCTTTATAGGAATTATAAAATAATTCTCCTCAGGTTACTGGAATCTAAAACGCGACTTCAATTAAATATCAGTAGATATGGATTAGCAAATGTTGAAGTTGAATATTTTTTTTATTCCAAATGAGCATGACATTAGAAATTTTATCTCGTATGTTAACATATAAACTAATTCATTGATTGATGATTCATTGATTTGTAGGATTTTCTCTAATTATTATACAGAGTGGTTTCTGTCATTATTTCAATCATTGGTGAAATTAAGAATTTCATTCGCTGATGAAACAAATACAAAATCATTTTTCTCAAACATCAGAAGTGTAAGATTTTTCTCGGCATGCAATTCATCAACCAACTTAGAATCACCAGGAGATAATGTAAATAGTCAGTTTAAATTGTCTATGAAGATAATTTGTGGCAAGAAAGTTATTTATAATACAAGGTATTACATAGTTTCAAGTAAAATGTATTCATTGAAAGTGACTTCAACAACTATATTTCAAAGCAAATGTAACTCTTACCTTTCAGCCTCAATACATTCCTCCAATCCTACAAAGATTTAATAGACCTACTTTTGATTCTTGTGACTGGATATATAGAACTGGTATGTTGAACTGATATTATTTCATGTTCCGTACAAGAGCCTTAAGGTTTTTTTTCCCCTAAAATTCATAAAACCTTCCTACAATCTATAACGTGCAATAGAATGAAAAAGCATTCGATTGGAATCGAAACAATATCCCGTTCAATATATGTCCAATATTCTAATATTCAATATATAGTTCTGAGTTTAGTTTAAACGTGGACAGGGTGAAACTGACTCGGAGAGGAAATCGTCCTCGTGATAATATATCTAGCGTCTAAAAACGACATCCTGCATAATCTGAAGGTAGTGTGCAATAGTTGGGATCTGTAAAACAAATAAACATTGATACATAGAAGTATAACTTTTTGAATACAAAGTCAACACACCAAATTCTTATTTTTTTCTATTTGATACACATAAGATCAAAGTCACTGATTTCCATTGCCTTCAACAAAGACTTCTGTCCAAATTCACATTTTTGTTTTCAAAAAATAGGCATATATCATTTCCAAAGATAGCAGTAATTGCATGGAGTGCCCTCTTGAGTGCTACACCTTCACAAAAACTGCCTTCTCGTAAATGTATTTTCTTCCTCTCTTCCCAGAAGACAAAATGGATCTAAAACGGGAAAATTTACATTGATATGGAGGATTTTTTTTAATTACCAAGTTATGAAATATACAGAGTGGTTTCTGTTATTATTTCAGAACCAAACGTTGCTGAAATGTAAAATTTCAAACTCTGGCATAAAACAAATACAAAATCACTTTTTTCAAACACCGAAACTTTTGAGACTTTTCTTGACACGCTTTTCACTAATCAAGTGAACGTCGACCAAAAGATTATATAAACTAACTATTTACTGTATGGTATGTAAGAAAGTATTTTTTGGCATTCATCTGTTAATTGAAAACAACCAAACAAGCACTATGAAGTAAAAAGTGAGAGATTAAATATTTTGGTTGTGGAATATAGCTGTAGTCTTTGTATCTAGTGCCTTTATATCAAGATTTTGATCATTTCGAAATGTGAACTGCAACTATTTCTAACATAATACTCCTGTATCAATGTGAATTTTATGTGATCATCTGTATTTTGGAAAATATATCTGTAATGTATTAGAACCATTAGTTGTGTAATTGATGACTTGTTTATTTTGTGGAAACTCATTATCACTTTAATGAAATGAATGAAAACACGAAAGTAACCTGTTGAATTTATGATTTTTTTGTATTAATGAGAAATGTATATTTTATGTTTTACTTGATTAATGGAATGGAATAAATCTTGTTACTATCCCAGCATATAATCCTGCTTCTAATGTGGAGCTGTGGAGAACTTAGTGGAAACGGTTGAGGAATTTTTACTCAAAGAAATTTCTGATAATCAGCTGGAAGATATCAATTTATGTTTATATACATTTCTGTTAACTTTTCGAAACACTCACTGTTCATCTGGTGAAACACCGTCAAAAATATTTTTGGGAAGACCTTTGAGAACTCGTTTGGATCTTATCATGCCAAAACAACAAGATAAGCAAAGAGTTAAGAGCAATGTAGAGGTCAACAATGATATGATGAAAGCGTAAGAATCTAACAAACGATTTTTCAGGGGGAAGCGTGACGATAATTTTATAATTGGACAAATTGTCTATACTAGGGATTACAGAGGCCCTAAACTTTTTTGGTACAAGGCAGTTATTGAAATTTTTTTTAAGTAAAAACATTTGTTTGGTGACAGAGTACAAAACTGGTGTTGTCTGGAAAAGACATTTCAACGAAATAAAATACTGTAATGGTCATGACTTTACGTTGAATACTGATTATTTTACTAATGAAAATGTAGGAAATACAGACTCACGACTTACATAGCACCGTGCACATTACCGGGGACTCCAATGAAACGGAAATGGTTAACAAGTCATTGAATAATGCGAAATTGAATAAAATGAATATTCATCCTGATACTAATATCCAACATAAAAAATAATCTCTAGTGAATCGCCCAAAAAGAATTAGAAGTGCCCCAGATACATTTAAATATAAGGTATCCAGTTCAGTGAAAACAGTGATAGAGTAAAGACCTCCTTTTGCACGTATCTGAAATAGTCAATAAAGTTTAACTGAAAAGTCTGATAATGTCTGATGAAAGTGATGGAAGTTATAATGAAATGGAAATAGATGATGATGGCGGTTGGAATAAGGTCAGAATGAAAAGAAAACCAAAGAGGGACTTGGAAAGCACAATAAAAAAGAAGAGAGAAATGTCACAAGAAGAAGTCAACAGCATAATTCAAGGCCCTAACACCAGTACTAATAATACTTATTCCACAAAAACAAGCACCAATTCTTTAACATCCCAACACAATAAAAAGCCAACCCAATATAAAAACTACTCAGCCAAAATGAATGAGATATAAAAAAAACAATAAAAAAATCTGTTCTATATAAACACTGACACAAAAGTCAGGACCAGACTTCAAATGGCAAATATATGGGAAGATGAACAACCCTATTCCAAATATGTAATCATCCAAACAAAAAAGGGATTTCTCCTAAAGAGTGACACATCAAAATTGATTTTAATAAATCGTATAGAAAAGTGAAAGCAAATAACAATATAACCAACTTCACAGAATCAAAGACAAACATCCAACCAACACAAACTACCAACACCATCTCTACTTCCTACTCTGCAATAGTAGGTAATGGCGAACAAGACATAACAAATGAATATATAAAGTGAACATCTGTCCAAAACGAATATAGAACGCCAATTGTGCAAAAGAATAACTTCCCGAGCTACATCCAAACCAACCTCATATATTAGAGTTATTAACAGCAACATCCAAGTATATGAAAAATTATTATTAAAGGGCTGTACTTAAAAAAAAGGAATTATCCTGTATGCCCTAGTAGCCCACCCAGCCCAACTCCTATACCATGTAACAGATGTTTAAATTTCACCCACAAAACCGAAGAATGCAACACTCCAATCAAATGGAACAAATGCGGAGAAAATTACAAGTCGACTAAATGTACAACTAACCTTCCTCCCAAATGTCAGTCCTGTGGAGAAGAAGACCACCAAGTCTGGTCTTTTAAATGTCCAAAAAAACCAACTAAATCAATAGAAGGAATACCCAATGCAATCATAAAAAGCCTCAACAAAAGGTCGAACGAAATAAAACCTGAAATCAAACAAGGGGCCAAAATTCACTCATGTGACTATTCACGATCACATCATCAACACCTATATACACAAAATAAATAAACAGAAACACACACAAACAGAGTAGAACTTTTGAAAAAACTAAAGAGACAATTCATAGCAGAGTACAGAATAGAAACCTGTGTAGTATTCACAGAAAGTAACCGAGCCTTCATTCTTATGTTTGACCAAGATGATCCAGACTCAAATTCGCAAACAGAACCCATCAATGGACAAGCATTCCCTATTAACATGCTTAAAATGTTATATTCTAATATAAATAGCTATGTGACAAACACATCTAGTGAATTATTTCATAGAAAGCAACAATATCAATTGTGCACTTTTTGTTGAAACCAAAACTAAAATAGATAGTACCACCAATTATAGAAACTGGGATATAATAAAAAAGATGCTTACTCAGTTAACAACACAAGAGGTGGAAGCTTAGTACAAGTATGCCCATCTCTAAAAATGAAAAAAGATTATGCTCCTCGGCTCAACAACATCCTGAATGAATGCATTTATTTTACCATGCCATACCTAAATGATAAACTTCATATATTCCTAGTATACATACATCACTCTTCACCTAATATTGAGGACACAATCTTTAATAAAGCTGCTCTGTACAAATATGCAATGATAATAGGAGACTTCAATGTAAACCACATCCGCAACAGTCAACTTAACACTTTCCTACAAAACTCCTTCTTCAAAAGAGCAAAAACAGCTCCTACCTTCCTGATGGAAAATAATCCTGACAGCACTCCAGACGTGGTACTGTAAACAAGTAACCTGGAAAATAACATAGTAAAAATTGAGACTCATGCAGACCTAGGTTCAGACCATTTGTCAATTGAAGTGAATTAAACATGAATACGATTATTGAGAAAGAGGATTACAAGATAAACTATAAGTGCAACATGGAAAGAGTAAATGCAGATATGATACAATTCGTCCAACACCATTGAATTGTTAATGAAAATCATATCAAAACATCCAACAAAAAACTTGTTGTATCTGTCAGAAGCAACTCTCCAAAATCGAAGACAAAGTTTTATGTGCACGAACTTCCCCCATTTATCATAAGGCTAATAAAAAACAAGAGAAAAATGTACAGTAGCCCCAGGAATAGACAATATATCTAGGAGAATAGTACGAGCCTTAGAATCAGACATACACAAACATATCATCTCCATCTAGGAATATTGTTTGAACAATCATTACTATCCTACAGCCTGGAAAGAAGGTTTAATAATTGCCATTTCAAATCCCAATACAGACCATACACAGACCTGCAACTACAGACCAATTACTCTTCTTCCAGTGTTAGGAAAAAACTTTGAGAAAATCATCAAATATCAACTCGGTGATACCAATGTATCAATTTGGTTTTGGAGAAAATAGAAATACAACCCACCCTATAGTAATTGTAACATCTAACGTACAAACAGCACACATGACCAACCTACTCTCTGCGGCGCTATTTTTAGATATCAATAAAGCTTTATATAGCATTTGGTATGAAGGAATGTTATATAAAATTCACGAATTGAACACCCCTATCCATCTTCTCTGTATAATAAAACAATATTTTGAGAACAGAACCCTCACCATCAGAGTCAGAAATTCATTCTCCAAAAAATTTGCTTCCCAACAAGGAGTTCCACAAGACTCTCCGTTATCTCCAATTCACTATAATATATACTGCCATTATATATACAATCACAACTTGGAAGACAAGAATGAATTTAATGAAAATCTTTACATCTTACAATATGCAGATGATACTGGCTTAGTTTCACACAACCGCACGTTAGCACTCACAATAGACGAACTGCAAAATCTCGTCGACAGGACAACGCTCTAGTTTAATAAATGGAGATTGAGACCAAACCCGGAAAAATCACAATTCATCATTTTTCATCACAAGCCTTCAGAGACGCTACCAATAATAAACATCAACAACAAAATGGTAAGAAGCAGGCAATCAGTAAAATACTTGGGAGTTAACATTGACCACAAAATCAACTTGAACTGCCATACAAAAATGATTAAAAAGAAATGCATCAATAGAGGAAAACACTTTCAGAGTATGACATTTAAAAAAAGAGGAATCAACACTAAAACTGCAACTAAAATATATAAAATGATCTGTCGTCCACTCCTCGAATATGCACATGTAATTTATTCAAACAGCTGAAACATCTACACTAAGGAGTATTACCAAAATTCGTCACCCTCAGAACATACTACACAATCCCTTAAACGCACTGCTTTACAGAACTACAAAAGTCAAACCTATAAAGGAGAGACTATCAGACCTAGGAAACCGCTTTGCCAAAAATGAAACTAACTTGGAGACCCTACAGGCATTATAGGTAAAGAGCTGAAGGACAACCATCCAAATTCAAATACCTGGAAAAAACTATTTGGGAAAACATCAAATCACTGTCATAATTTACAATTTTTCTGGTCAGAAATATAATGTACCTCAAATCTATTATGTAAGCATATGTAAAAATCACTGCAAATATTTAAAAATTGTACACTGGCTGAAGTACTTCGGTCGATGGCCCTTTAGTATCCACCAATAAATGAAGAGGGGAAGTGTGTAATGTATTAGAACCATTAGTTTCCTATTGAAAATTCTATCTACGCTTATGTCGAATTTTTTTTTTATATTAATAAGGAATGTATATTTTATGTTTTACTTGACTACTGGAGATTTTCATTCCATGATTTGATTCGGTCTTTTAAAATTATAGTGTGTAATATAGGGATGCAATTAAAATCAGTGTTTCATTTTCCCTTTTGAAGACTACAATATCTACATATGAATGTGAAATACTGAATGAATACCTGAAATATGAGGTACAGGAAAAGTTCAAATATTCTAGAGCGTATGCAATGCAATGTTTGCTTTCCCATGCACACACCCGGTGTATCAGCTCTGATTCTACTTATCCACAGTGGATATTTGGAATTTGTTCTTTACTGAAGATCATCTGTAAGTTTTTCAATCAAGTTAATTGTGTTTTGAGACAACTCTTGAAATATATAGAACAGACTTTTATTTGTCAATGAATGAGCTTACGAGCTGTTGAACAAGTCAAATTTTATAGACAACAGTTTGAATAAATCAGGACGATAATGGTAGATAAAATAATAATAATAGATAAAAGATAGCATATAATGTAAAAAATACATTAAAATATTAGAAATATTCAAAATATTCTTGGATATCATAAGGTGTTATTTGTAATGAAAACTTCTCAGTTTTTCTTCTGAAAATATGTTCCAGATTTTTTTTATTTTTTTGGGAATAACGTACAATTTAAAAACCAGGAAATTGAGGCAGTTTCGACGTATGTATATGGAACTCCATTTTCTTATGGTTACGGTAATTACTGTTTGTTAGTGATATATCTTGGTTTTTATAAACATAAGGACTTCAAGAAGAAAAAGAGTTAGAATTTGATATTATTGAAGAAATTTCCTACAAAATTTCAATTGTGAAGTAATGCTTAACAAGTAATACTTCTTTTTTGCGCAATACCTCTTTCGCTGAAGTAGATGTAACCAAAACTGTTGTCGCATAACTGGGTCTTGATTGTATCTAAGCATAGTAAAACAATATTAAACTTTGAGTACTCATTACTTTATTCAAAACTCTTTAATAAAAATTGGGTCCAATTGTTATTAAATAGTTTTTATACAACAAGAAATTTTCAAATAGTGTAATTTATTTGTATTCAATGAATTGATAGATGTAGCCGTATGTGGTAGGAAATCGTCATGAAAAATGAGAATTGAAACTATCTGTTTTTTACCACTTTTATTTGTAACTAACGTTACTACTCCTATAAGGACATTTTCGGACTAATACATTAAACTAAAAATTATTGATTACATTAGTCCTTATATAACACCACTGTAGGTAATAACAGAGGTACTTAACTTAATTGAGTACCTGAATCTAATTTGAAAACCGGTTCATAAGCAACAGGTTGCACCCGCAACCTGTTGCTTATGAATTTCCAAGGATTCCAAATAATTGAATCTGCAACCCTTCCTTGCATAGTGCAAAATTTCCGTATCGTTTAGATTCGGGAACTTGTGGTTGCATCCCAAGAAATGGTTTTAAAACGTCGAATCATTTTTAGCTAGTATGAAGAACCTTTCATGTTCAGCAAACCGTTTTGAGAAATTTCGACCACATTGTCCCACATAAACAAACTCCAGATTTCTCCAACTTCTCCACTTCATCTTTGGCATTGAAAAGGAAATCAGATATCCTGGCATGTGGTCTAAATGCCACTTCCACATTGTTTTTTTTTTAAGAAATCCGCAATTATCTCTGTTCTACTACCAAAATGTCAGTTACCCCATGAAATCAAGAAATGGGTAACTCTAACCGGTGAGTACACCGATTTTCAAATTAGCGTATCCACATTGTCACAGGTAAACAAAACTCAGGGTGATGACTGTCATCAACCGAAGACGATTATGGATACTAACAATCGAAACGTCGTGAATAATTTTTCATGTTCAGCTCGTGATAATAGTTCAATTTTTTGATTGTTGCTTGTATTTTATTTCATTGTAATTTCAGGTTTTTTGCTCAATTTAATTGTTATTTATCAGCTAATCGTTTTAATTTTTTTATAGATTCTTTCATGGAGTTCAAATCAATTTATATCATATTAAACAATGGAAGTCTAAACTAATGAAATGAACCATGAAACATTGCCAACCACCTTCAAACAATCAATGTTACATCTAATAAAAAATCTGTTTTTCCGTTAAACAGCTGTCGCACCCCTACGAACGACAACCATCAGAAGTGGAAACTTGTGCGAGCTAAGGATTAACGAGGTCTTACCTTTTAACGTGTGATTCCTAACATGTTACATAACCTGTTATATAAGAAGGAACATATTGATATCATATTTGGGTAAATGTAATGTAAAAGTGTTTATTGGGAACTGATGAAACCTATGAGATCTTTGCAAAATACCTACAAATATTATAGAGGTACTCTGAACAACATATTCTCAGATTCAAGAAAAGTAGATTGGTTTTCTGTCTAGTATGAAAAGCATCATATCTAGTTTTAGAGATGTTCAAGAAAAAGTTCAGTATTTAGGTATCTGTGGTTTTATTAATCTTATTTTTGCACATGTTGACTTTGAGATTCATTGCAGAATAATAATGTAGCATCGTCAACATAAAAACAAATGAAAGTTCCAAGTAAAACTGCAAGGAGGTCTTTAATATAAATAATGAATAGCAAAGATGCCAAGACAAGACTTCTAGAAGACACCTATATTTTTCAACCATTAGGATGACAAGTGTATAGATGTTTCTGTATAACATGACTGATTTTCACTCTCTGTATTTTATTCTTGGAGTAGGAATGGTACAATTCAATTGATTTCTCAGCACCCTACTAAAGTTTCAAGGGGTACCTAACTCCTATGGGAGTTTGTCAGGTTTCACTTTCTCATAAAAATAGTGTATAGCAGTGATAGTGAAGTAGTAGAGGTGAGTGAAGTAGCCTGTATATGTTTAAAAAATATGTTTTTTTGTTAACCAGCTGTCGAACCCCTACGAACGACAACCCTCAGAAGTTGAAACTTGTGCAAGCTAAGGACTAACGAGATCTTACCTTTCAACGTGTGATTCCTAACATGGGTTGGACGATAGCAAGTGAAAATCGATCGTTCAGCCTGGGGCTTCAACCGGCGACCAACACGGCGGTCGATTCAAACAAGGCACCCACGTCGAACCAACCGGCTATCGTCCGTTAAAAAAAAATAAAAATTTGATCAAGTCTACTGCAGACCAAAATATGGGTGGCACCTTAATGGGAAGACAATTTTTTTATATCATTGGCAACAGTTGTAGTTAATTCAAACATGAAAATGCAAATAACAACTTAGTGATAGTAATTTATACTATTGTTGCCACAATAATTACAACATGAACATTTTTGGTTTACATACCTTCGTTTTTTCTATGAACTGGGTGTTCTTCGACCCATTCCCAGAAGTACAGAAATGAGTACATTTTAGCAGTTAGTTAATAATGTATATTTGAGAATTTTGAGATCAAAGGAAACTAGAAAAAATATAAAGGTGTATCTGATATCATTATCGATTGTAATAACGGGGTAATTCAACACACTCTCAAGACAAGATTAAGAACTAAGAGTTTAATCATAACAAGTCAATGAGAGCGTTTATGGAAACTCAACTGAAACGAAACTCAGAACCAGAACTATGCCTACCAGTTGTCAACATTCAGGTAATAACTTCCTTCTCTTTTACGGCCCTTGTTTCCTTCTTGGACGCATTTGACCAAGTTCCTTTTATCAACAGTGTCAACAGATGACAGGAAATTCGTAAGGGGGCGCAGCAGTCTTTCTCGGGGCGATGCTGCCAACCCTTAATAAAGTCTTAGAAGGTTCTTTCATTTGGAAATAGCTGAAGATGTGTGCGTCATGAAATTGGGAAATATAATCAAAATAAAAGGTAATAATGAAATATAAATATAGTAGATATAGGTATGATAATAGATAAAACGCTAATAACTTCCTGAACAATGAGCAACTTAAAAATAAAAGGTAAAAAGCATACATTCCATATAACCATGTGACATGTAAAGCTATAGTCAAGGAAATTACAACATTTTTTAAAGAAGAGGAAATTGGAAAAATGATCGAAAATCCTCATAAAGTTATTAAGGTTCAGATTATGAATAGAAGAACGAATAGAAAAACGAAAAACCAACACATGTAGCAGCTTCCACAATTTCAATCACATTCAAAGGAACGGTAATTCAATAATGAATACAAATCAAATAATAGATCTTGCATAGAATAAGAAAGGAAAAAAATATTATTGAAAAAATGACCTTTGATAACGTTTCTTTTTACGGAGCAGTAGAATGCTATCCAAAAGACAGACAAACATGCACTCAGAATTCACGTGAATTTCCAATACTACCAAATCCGTAAACAATCGCAACCAAATTTCAGTAGAACAACGTAGGGAGGCATACAATACAAATACGTTAAGTCAAAAACGAGCGTATGCTTAAAGTGTATATGAAGAAATAAATAATAGAAATATAAGAAATGGGTATAAAAGACAAGAGACATACGAAATTCTCATTAATTATTCCAAATGGAAGATCAACCACATAACAGAGAAGTTTTCAATCATATATTGTATCATATTAGGAGGAGAAAATGGATTTGTGAAAAATTCGTATCTAAAATTCAAATCCAACACAAAATCGAGCGGCTATCATAGCGAAATGAATTACGACAATTACAAAAAGTGATTGCAAGAAATGTTGATTCCCAATCTTCCAGAAAAACTGTTTTGGTTATAGACAATGCCCCATATCACAAAGTTCATTATGAAAAGTTTCCAAACATGTCCTTGAGGAAAGATGAGATGAAAGAATGGTAAAGCCGACGTAACATCCATTTCACGGATGATATGCTAAAAATTGATCTCTATTCCATTAAAAAAATCCATAAACCACGATTCAAGTTGTATGAAATTGATAGGTTTATGGAAAATCATGGACATACTGTACTCAGATTGCCTCCTCATCATCCAGATGTTAACTCAATAGAATTAGTATGGGCATTACTGAAACGCTGATAAAAAGGTGGACTTCAATTTCAAATCCGTTGAAAATTTATGGTGACGTATTCTTCACTTCGTTTTCTCAAGAGTAATGAAAAAAACGTTGCGCACACGCTAAACATGAGAAATGATAATTTCTATGTTTTTCACTACTTTTGTTTGTAACTAAAGTTACTGCAGTTTTAATTTCTCATTTTTCATGATGATCTACCACACGGTTACATCCACCAATTCAACAAGCTAAACGTTTCAAAGAATTTTTTGCTTGATTCACAATAGACAAAATTATTATAAATGTTCAATGTGATAGTAACAACGATAGTACCAGTGAGGATAGTGATCACTCTACAAGCGATTCCGATCTGATGTCTGGAGTTGAACCTTTGCAATTTTTGATCATAACTTTATATTTATGTTTGGATTCATTCATCTTAATGAATATTATGTTTCCCTAGTTTTTTTATTTTGAAATTTAATCGTCAACCCAAATAAATTACATTTTCAGAGTAATTTTTCTTACCTTTCCTCAATAAACGCGAAATTGAATGCAATACAGACTGCTGAAAAACAAACTTATTTAAATTCAATTACGTAAATACTGCATTATCATACTAAACTAATAATTGACCATCAATTAAAGAACCATCAACCCTTATTGCACTTGCGGCGAGGAATGTACTCTCAGGCCACTCTAAAACCCAAATAGGCGCACCAAGTCGCCAAGATTTCATCCTTTTCTATCCTAATGCGTTCCCTGTTATCAGTAGTGTACACAGGTAGTGATATTTTACAAGTCGCTTCCTAGATTTGACTAAGACATAATACATAACTACATTAGAAAGCTTTAGCTTTTACTGTGATGTAACCATGTAATGATAATAATAATATTCTTTATTATTTTCAAATAAATAAATACAGAAAAAGAACAAAAAATACTGATAACTATCCTAGATATTAATGAAAATGAAGGGCGTAGTTCATTTTAGTTAAGTGTTAAGACATCATCAAAAATATTCATCCACTCAACCCAAAAACAGAGATGTGTTCTAATTTGATATAACATTTCAGTTACTCATTGCGAATGCATTCCTCACTGAAAATTATCTATTCCAGAATTGAATTGTAGAAAGGGAAGGAAAAAAGACAATTAACTATTATTTCAACTTGGAATTGTGTCTTTTGGTGTTTTTCACCATTGACAATTGCTATGCACATCGCAAATGATTTACGATGACTCCTATGTACATTCAAAACACGATCATCGACAGTTCGAAAAGTAAATGAAAGTTGAAAATTCAACCGTGTGCTTCCATCAAAATCTAAATACTTTATGAGATGAATCTTAAAGTGATCTTTGAATTTTTTAACTGTATGGCTTTTAAGTTCTGAAGGTGTTATGCGACCCGTGCCAAAGGATGAATGGTACCTGAGCCTCATCAGGTATCACTAACGGAGCCTTTGGGATACCAGGCGACCTCCCAAAGTATCCAGCCTTACATCCATACAGGGATACCATGAATGTGGACAACCCTTTCTTCTATACTTGTGGGAGTTGAATGGACTAAAAGATTATTGAAATATCAGAGGAGGACTCTTCGAGCGACTCCTCGCAAAATAAGACTATCCTTGAGGTGCAAACTGACCAGGAAAGTCATAGTCAAACGGCGAGATACACCAGTTCCGCCGAAAGCATAATTGCAGGATTGACGAAAGTCGAACTGGAAAAGAAAAGGCTATCAGGGGCGCAAAGGCGCAAACTGATGAAAGCGAAGAAAATAGCTGCGGGAACGTGGAATGAAAATCATGTAATACAAAGGACCGCAGCAAACTAGAAAAAACTCAAGTAACTTCTGTGGAAAGGGCCAAAAAGAGACCTAGAGAGGATGTAAAAACTCCCCGACAGAAGTTACTGGAAAAACCCAGGGCTTCCAAAGAAACTGGGACTTATAGTGAGGCTGATAAGGGCCTGAGGGTGGCGGTCAATGACATGCAACACCTTGAGGTCACCCTGAGTCAGGATCAAGCAGACCTGATCCAGGAGGGACTTGTACGCAACTTGGATAATACTCCCTCTGGTAGCCTCAAAAATCTACAATTTAAAAAAGACTTCATTTGGCGCAGGGGTTCTATGGATATCCTGTGCGAATGAAGAGACAAAAGAATGGCTCAGAGGAAGCATAGGAAACTTAGGCAATCTTTGGGAGGGGCAGACTTGACCGTGGTCGAGACCAACGAACCGAAGAGACCGAAAGTCCTAGTCTTCATTCCGGGTCAAAAAGACGAGGAGGTTACAGTTAGGACGCGCCTCAGTAAGCAGAATCCTGCCCTGGGAGTGGAAAACTGGATCCTCATGAGCAGAAAAGTGGAAGAGGAAGGACAAATCCTTGCCTTCTCCAGGGCCTTGGAGGGGAACATGTTTAAAGCCTACTATAAACTGGGCATGGTCACCTTCAAGGTCCTGAAGGGTCTTAACAGCAATGTTGAGAGTAATACAAACAAACCTGCAACACAGTAGGGGGGGCTCGGCTGTCCTTACCAAATTGATGAGGGGGTTTGATATTGCTCTCATACAAGAACCCTGGGTGTACGGGGGAAAAATAATGGTATTGGGGGGCATCAGAGGGGAGTTAATTTATAACAGAACCTCAGAGACCCCAAGAACATGCATAATTATCCGTAATCGAAAAAATATACTGCCGTTGAGTAATTTGTGTTCCAGAGACGGCAGTCAAAATAAAACGGCTGGCGGGGGCGGACCTGAGGAAATCATCATTGGATCAGCATACCTCCCTTACGACAGTCCGGAACCACCACCAACCAGGGAAGTGGAAGAGTTGGTTAGGACCTGCCAAGCAGAGGGACTACAACTCATAATTGGCTGTGATGCCAATGCACACCACCTAACCTGGGAAAGCACCAATACCAACGAAAGAGGTGAGCACTTACTTCAGTTTATCATGGCAAATAATTTGGACATTTCAAACATAGGCAATAAATCTACTTTCGTAAATGCGAGACGTGGTGAAGTGATAGACGTAACGAGAGGAACTACATTTGTAAGTAACTATGTTCGGAAATGGAATGTGTCTGATGAGGAAAGTTGTTCAGACCATCGACACATAAACTTTAAAATCGGAGGGATTCAGACCTCGATCCTAACATATCAAACTCCCCGGAAAACAAATTGGGGAGCCTACACGGTGGACCTGGAAACCTGTTTAGACCGCATGAATTTTGACATCAGAGATTCCATAAACCTAGAGCTGGCAGCAGATCGATTACAGGGAGCCATCATCTCTACGTATAACGAACATTGTCCCATAGTAAACCAGAGATCAAACAGGAATGTGTCCTGGTGGAATGAAGATCTGGCGAGGATAAGACAAAAAACTAAAATAACCTTCAAATGTGCAAGAAAATCAGGTTCATGGGACCAATACAGAAGGTCCCTAACTGAGTATAACAAAGGCCTGAGAAAATCCACGTGAGATACGTGGAGAAGGCAATGTGAGGAGGTCGAACAGACCAAAGCATGTGCCAGGCTCTACAAAATACTCTCGACGAAACCTCAGGTCTCACTAAATAATCTGAAAACAAATACGGGGGAGTATACAAAAACCGGAGAGGAGACTATTAGAGAGCTTTTCTGGGAACACTTTCCCGGGTCAGAAATTACAAATCTAACACCGGAGTCCTGGGCGAATTCATAAATTTGGAGACTGATCAGGG